ATCCCCTGAGTCCTCTGAGTCATCCTCCAGGCAGGGCATGACACTTGGGTCCTCCAGTGCTGCTGTTACCTTCCCAGGCAAGTACACACACCCCATCAGAGCCCCACTGTCGACACGTTGCTTGCCTGGCATCAGAATTATGTGATCAGAAATGGAGGGGGGGAATGAATCTGATATCAAGATAAGCAACATGTAGGGATCCGGAGACATGCCTGGCTAAGCCAACAGCAATGGTGGCCAAGTCAGCTTCAGATTAGGATAAGGTGTGGACAGGAAGATAGCTCCAGGTTACTTTTACATTGGTGTATGTGGTGCTAATGGTTTGGATCTGGGGCAGCTCTGGGGCAAAATAATCTAATTTGCATCTGGATTTATTTCTGCTAGCACAGATGTGTCCTAGGACAAGATTTGTTACTTTTTATCATTTACTAGGAGCACTTCACTCAAATACATATTAAGGATCTTTTCTCTAGTTTCCAAACTCCTTCCAGCTAGAAATAGTTTTTCATGTCAGAAATAGTTTTCATTTCATGTCAGAAATAGTTTTTAAAGAAATGACAGCAGACAATAGCTTGTGCACCTTCCCTCCTACTACTGTCTTACCTTGGCCTGAATCTTTGCTTGCTGTTTGATACCCAGCAGTATCTGATCTTTGACAACACTTGGAAAAACTGTATTTTTGGACTAAATGGCCATGGTGACGGGGGGGGGGGGGGATTCTGAGTTCCAAGTTTTAATTCCTGACTTCCCAACACCACCACTTCACCATTGCACAGACTCACCCCCCAGCTCTTCAGGGTCTTTGACAACAATATGCGCATTGAGATCTTGCAGTTGGTGATGCAGTGCCTCCAGCTTGCGGTTGGAGCTCTTGAGCAAATTCTCCACATTGGACAGGTTCTTACGGTCTGTGGTGGCTTTGCGCAAGTTCTCTGCTCCCTCCTTTATCTTCAGTTCCTTGCGGATCTCACGCTTGATTTTCTCCTTTTCTTCATCCAGCTTCTGCTGTACACTAGTGTCTGAGAAATCTGAGCTCTGATCCAGACCCAAGTGCTCCAGCACCGACCAGTTCCCTGGATCACTCTGCAAATGAAACATGGCAAAAAGGTGATTGTAGACATCAGAGCAAAGCAGAAACAAACCATAATTATGATTTACCACAGTTTACAGTTCAGACATAACACTGCTATTAAATGAAATAAGAAACAAAATCTTTCAGTGTTGTATTTATGGAAGGAGCAGAGGAGATGCTGAAGTATACAGCCCTGAAGTTTGTACAAGTAACTCTATAGTTTAACATTATGTCTGAATGAAACCACTGTGTCAAAAGAAGGTTTTCTACATAATAAATAACCACAGGAAAAATAACATGATTGATGGGAATAAGAATCACAAACACTGCAGGTGTGGGTGGTTATTGATGTTGCTGTTATTTTAAAGATTTACAGCTTGTTTTTTCAGCGTAAAAAGCCTCACAAAAGCACTTCGTAGATGTATGGATTAGCTAACCATCATAGGCACTAAGATTCAGCAGATGATCATTAAGCCAATACTGATGACTCCAGTTTTATACCCACAACTGTGCTATTGATTCAGGTCTCAGCCTATGAATATTGATGATTGTCACCTAAACAGGATGGAGATTTTCTTTCCATCTCATGAAGAAACACCATTTTGCATAGTTACTATTAGGACGTTATCACCCGGGGGGAATCTGTAGGTTATCCCACACAAATCTCAAAAAAAATCCGCACTTGCACCTGACAATTTCACACGACGTCGTATAGAAACTGGTCAGAAAGTGGACAGAAAGTGGTATTATCCAAGATATTTTTAATTTTGGGAGTTTAGAGGAAATGCTTTTGCAAAATTACAGTAATTGCACATTTACTTAAATCTGAAAAGCAAATATGCACAGAGAACCTCTTGAGAGGTCCTAACCCCAACGAAAGGTGGTTAGGACCTGTGCAGGAGGACATGACCCCAAATGGAGAACAGTCTGACATTTCCTCCTGGGAAATGCAGGACTCATCCTGGAAAAAGAGGAGTCTGGTCACAAAACGCACCCATTTCCAGTACATGTATGGGTTCTTTTCACTTGTGTAAAAAAGTTAAAAACATTTTTTTTTCGCTTTTAACTTAATTCTGTTATTATTGTAATTACGTGTGAAAAGCTTTTGCGCAATTAAGCTCTTTTTTCGCTTTCTTTTCGGGATGCTTCATTTCCACTTTATTATCTCTTTAATAACGAAACTGGTCCACGTGTGATAACGTCCTTAGCCCTTGCACCTGCAAGTTGTAAATACTTGCAGCCATTCACATATACAGAAATTCAAACAGGAACCAGAAACAGATGGCAATAGAGCTGTTTCAAACGGCACCTAAATTCTAACAAAAATCTGCCAACAAATACGGAAAACAATATAACGGCCACAAACTGGAAACATTCAATATATATTCCAATCCCCAAGGAAGAGACCACCAGAGAGTGCAGTAACCACTAATCTCATATACAAACAAAGTGATGTTCAAGATTTTACAACCAAAACTGTTAACTTATTTGAATAGTGAGATGCCAGATGTCTGAGCTGGGCTGAGAGGCACTAGAGATCATACTGCAGAAGTGCATTGGCTAAAAGAGCTGACCAAAGAATTTCAGAAGAAAATTAGCCTAGACTACAGCAAAGCATTTGAGTGTGTAGATTATGACAAACCATGGATAACCAAAGAAGGAGAGTGCCGCAGCATCTGATGGTCCTCATGCCTAACCTGTGCTCTGGACAAGATGACTCTGGGGCTAAGCAGACTGGCGGCCGTGGGCCACCCTAGGAAGGTGCGCCGCGGGACCGAGGCATCCCCATGCCTCGATCCTGCAGCGCACCTTCGCCGCCCCTGAAAGGAGCGCTAAAATAGCATTCCTTTCACAAGTCAGCGAAAGTGCGCCTCAAAAGCTTGCGGCGCACTTTCACAGACTTTTCCACCGCAGCGTGTCCAGACGTGCGGAGGGCCGGCGGCTCCGAGGACGACCTCGGGAGAGGGATGGGGCACCAAGCGTGCAGCTGCCCCTCCCCTTCCCTGCCTCCAAGACGGGTCTATTAGCCATCTGCCGAGGCCCTCTGTCAGAGCAGCAAATGGCAAAACAGAATGCTTTACAATTGACAAGGGGATCAGACAAGACTGAAATTTAACACACTATCTATTTCATTTATATGAAGAACGTATGAGGAAAGTGAGAAGAAGGTGTGAAAATTGGAAGAACATCACCCAGAATAAAAGACAGAGCCAGAGTGGCTTAGCGGTTTGAGTGTTGGACTATGACTCTGGAGATCAGGGTTCAAATTCCTGCTTAGCATAAAACCCACAAGGTGACCTTGGGAAAGTCACACTCTGTCAGCCTCAGAGGATGACGATGCCAATCCTCTACTGAAAAAAAAAATTGCCAGGAAAACCACATGATAGAGTCGCATTAGGGTAGTCATAAGATGGAAATCACTTGAAAGCACATATCGACAACAACAACTACAGCAACAACAGATGATACTACTAGCAGAATGTCACAAAGGTTTAGAATTAGTAATTATTAAAGTTAAGGAAGAAAGTGCAAAAGCAGGGTTGCAATTGAATATTAAGTGGGGGGAGGAAATGACCATAGAGGATTTAAACAACTGGATAATAAAGACTGGAAATGTTAAAGATTTTCTGTACCTTGGCTCAGTCATTAATCTGAATGGAAATGAATGAATATGAAGAGCGGTCAGTGAAGAAAGCTGACAGCAAGATCTGCTCATCTCAAATGTAGTGCTTAGGACCATTTTTTTCTCAAGAAGTCTCTACCTACACAGACTGCTTTTGCCAGCACTTTCCCTTATCCTTTCTGCTCCAAAGAAAAAGGTGAGCAAGAATGGAACCAACAGTTTGGCCACGTGTAGCCAAAGTTCTCTTAATGCCCATCATCATCATCATCATCATCATCATCATCATCATCTGGTTATATTCTAATATAGGGACTCAAGGTGGCAAACAGCAAATTTAAAATAGCACAATTTAAAAACAGTACAAAAGCATTACTAAAGTATAAACATATAAATATAAAGTTTAAGTATAAAGTGCTACAACGTTTTATAACTATGATACAAAATTACCAAACATCCTCTCAACTTCCTTCCTCCTTAGGAACTGGTATGATTGCTATGCAATTGCATGGATGATCTCTGTCTCTCCTGCCACCCACCACATTTGCATCTTCAACATAGGGAAGATGGTTGGCCACATGTCAAGCTCACCATTTAAAACCAGTGTTTTAAAGGCATTGTTTTAACCAATTTCCCCTTGGTATTTAATACATTACATAGGCCTGCAAAACTGATGGTTATTAAAGCTTTTTTTTTTTTTAAAGTATGCTGGTTTTGTAGGAATTTAGCATTCTAAATCCAAAAATGACCTCAGATTTGCTCCATCCCATACAACTTTTTCACAACTTCCTTTGACATTTCTACACTGTAATATCTGACAATGAAATGATCCTGCAAAGAGCAGGAAAGGGGTTAAAGTCTTCTAATAGATTTTCAAAACAGTTCAATTCACTGATGTGAAACACACAAATCCATCCAAAAGCACTAAAAGAAATCACACTGGAACATCAGCATCTGCCCTTAAAGCTGAGTAACAATTGACTTGGCAAAAATACTGAGTTTGTGGAAGAATTGTGTGTGTTGTGATATTTTAATCATATTTTTTGAATTCAGCACCCAAAAAGTTTTTTTTAATTGTAGATCCACATTATATGGATAGTATTTATTTAAAACCAGTCACCCTGGCCCCACTTGATAGACATTAGGCAAGCCACTGTTCTCTCTGCCACCAATTTGCAATTTAGATAAAATAATATTTACCTGCCTTGCAGAGATATTATAAGAACAATTTCAACACTGGCACTACATAAATGCTGAGTACTATTTAAGACTCTCAGACTACCAGACATTGCATTAAAATGCTATTTGAAAAAGATGGAGGAGGGGCTGAGAGAGAGATGAATGCAGCAATTTGCCAAGTCAGAACAGTTTTATGTCCATAATTTAACACTGGGTTGTTTCAAACCATAGTTAACATTAACCATAGTTAGCTGTGCTCTAGTGACACAAGAAACTGTAGTGAAAACGTCCAGCCCCCCTCCTCACAACCACACCAGAGAAGGAGCATGTGAGCCTTATGTGGCCAAGCTCTTTGGGCAGGAACAGTGGGGTGGTGCTCAATTTCATTTACAGCCCAGTCTGTTTTCAAATATTCATGATTATTAGGGTTGCAGCCTAAATTGATCAGCTTTTGTCCCTTTGTCCCACGTTGCACCCAATGCAGAGGCTTCTGTTGTAAGGTGTGCATTAATAATAACTACACACAGAATTCCTGCAAGGACAAACAAAATAAGGGAAAGAGCTATCTGCAAGTTATGACTGTGGCATACAGACCACTATCAGCCTATATGAAGCTTCATAGACAAATCATAAGATGACAGACCCATGTCCTGGAGTGCATGTGCAACACATTATAATCTGTTGTTCTTTATCTCATATGCCTTGTAGAGTGATACAGCAGTCTCTCCTCTCCTAAACTTGTATGATATGAAGTCTCTCCCCCACAGATACATCATCTACTGTTCACATTGCTGATGCTTCCAACATAAACAGAGAGGCACTGTTCCTGCAGATCCAGGTGGCATGTTGCCCAAATATGCCCCAGAAGTGCAACAATTGTCCCTTCTTGTACACTACACATGGGCAACAGGTGATCCCTGAAGGCCTCCTCCACAGGCTGTGTGGTTAACTGAACTATGGCTAAATTTCCTTCTGCCACACAGCCCTTTGGTGGACTGTGTAAAGCATGTTTATAATGGGGAGAGCAGCACATGGGGGGGAAATGTTGTTGTTAGTTAGTTCATTTATGGCCTGCGTTCCTCCCAGCATTGGGTTAAAAGGGCTTGTGACAATCAAAAGAGATATTGTTCTTGTGTGCCTTCAAGTCACTTCTAACTTATGGAAACACTAAGACGAACCTATCATGGGATTTTCTTGGCAAGTTTCTTCAGAGGGGGTTTGCCATGGCCACCCTCTGAGGCTGAGAGAGCATGATTTGCCAAAGGGCACCCAGTGGGTTTACATGACCGACCCATGATTCAAACTCTGGTTTCCAGAGTCATAATCTAATGCCAAAACCACTATGCCACACTGGCTCTTAAAACGTATAAATTGTAGATAAAAGCACAAACCAATAAAAATGTAAGAGATTTCAAAATAATTAATCTAACAGAGTCAATATTGTGTTGTGGTCTGAGTTGAGAGGCTATGGTTCAAATCCCCAATCAGCCATGGAAACCCACCAAGCAACCTTGGGCAAGTCACACTCTCTCAGCCCCAGAGGAAGGTAATGGCACCATCCCCCCAAACAAATCTCCCTAAGAAAACCCCCTGATAGATTTGCTTTATGGTTGCCATAAGTCAGCAACAACTTGGAGGAACACAACAACAGCAATTACAAATAATAATTAAACCATCAATATAATAATAAAACTCTCCATCCTTCCATACTGAGACTGGTGTGTGTGTGTGTGTGTGTGTGTGTGGTTTGACATACTGTCCATTACCATGTATAGACCTTGTAGGGAAAAACCAGTTGCCCACCCAAAAACCAGTTGCCCACCCTTTTTTGTTTACTGTTTTCTTTCTGCCAGCTCTACAATGTCCAGGGGAATGTGAACAGGCATCTCCTATGTACACAGACAGCTGCACATCAGGGTAAGTTGTAACATGTTGATAAGGCAACATAATTCTCAAGCCACAAACGCACTTCAGGACTAAATATGAGCATCCAAATTTCACACTCATGCTGCAGTATTCCTTCACGTCTAACGGCCCATTTAGACCAGAATTCATGCCCACTTTACTGCCATCTTGATTTATGACAGACCATGAGCTTGTTCCCCAAACACTGCCCCCTCCACACACAACCATTTAAATTATTCTAAACAGAGAGAGGGAGGATCTATTGATATCACAGCCTCTTGCTATTCCTTTCCAAAAGACAGTACCTCCGGTTCATGTTCAGAGTTTGCATCAGGCTCCGAAAAAGACATCCTGGCCCCAGGAGAGGCACGGCAACAGCCGCCGCCAGGCTCCTCTGCTTGCAACTGTGTGCTGGCTACACCCTCACTTCCTGCCTGTTGATTCAAACAGTTCTTCTGGCCTGTGTGCAAACAAACCACTTCCTAACAGAGTTCCTGTATTTGCTGGCAATATCAGAACATGAGCTAACAGAAGGGAGTAATGGTGGGGCCTATGTGCCCCCTGCTCACTTTCCACATGCCATCCCCATCTCCCTTCCAAGTGAACCTGAAAAGGGGAAGCCAAAGCCAAACATCATGGAAGGGAAACGTATTTACTTGGACCAACTGAAATGTAACAACTTCATGTATAATTTTTGAGTTCAGTAGAGCTTCATTCAGCCTGGAAGTTGCATAAAAGAGTAACAGACAGCTGGGCATCATGTTAAAGCCCAAATGTTGCCATTTGTAGCACTAATGTTGCAGGACTCAGTTTTGCAGAACTCACGTGTCAGGTTTCATTGCATTAGGCTGTACTGGTGGGGTGGGCAATAGCCAAAAATGCAAAACAGACAAACAAAAAAGAAATGTTGCTTTGAAAAATAGGTGGGGTTTTGGTGTTAAATGTGTGTGCTTGATTTCCCAGAGTAGCAATGCATCTTTTTTGCCAGGAAAAAAAAGGAATGCAGGGGAGTTAGGGAATACTTGAGAACACAAAAACAGTGTTGTGTGTGTGTGTGATTTGACATGTAGGCCCAAGCCAACTATGGGCCTTTACAGACTGCCAGGAATAGTGCAAATTGAGGCCACTTTAACTGTCCTGGCTCAGTGCTAAAGAATCATAGGAACTGTAGTTTATTGTGGCACTAGAGCTCTCTGGCAGAGACGGCTCAATGTCTCAGAAAAAAAATACAATTCCCATGATTCCCTAGCACTGAGCCAGGACAGTTAAAGTGGCCTCAATTTGCACTATTCCTGGCAGTCTGTAAAGGCTATATTGGATGCAGAGAGAAGGAGCAAAGAACAATGTGTTCGTCTTTGAGGAACAAAATGCAGTAGCAAAGATCATCAGGTTACCCACACTGGATGGCAAAGGAGATGTGCGTTTTATTTGTTATAAGACAGGACAAAGACTATTAGAATGTAAATGCCATAGGACTGGGCTATCTGACAAACTGTATCTCCCCTATGAGCCTGAGCAAATTCTGAGATCCTCAGGTGAGGGACTTCTTTCAATCTCACCACCTTCACAGTCTCTG